ACCGACTGTTACTACAAGAACAAGCAACTTGCTTGCCTAGGAAATATCAAGGCAAGTGGTTGGGTCCCCTCAGTGCAAACCCCCTTCCAAGACTAAGACTCAACGGGAATACACGTTCTGATTGGTGACCATGCTCAACACCGATAGGAGAAGTGAGGGAAAAACAGCAATGAAGTGGTGAGCTAAGCTCACAGGGTTTATGTGGGAGATTCATACACATGAAACAATTAAGAAAATGTCTGACACGTAGTAAGGATTCAAAAGTTGTTAGCTACTAACTTGATAAAAGTAGTGTTACATATCAGGTATTCAACTGAAGGAATTATGGTGGGCATTGGAGGTCAAACATGAGGCTGGTAACTGCAAGGTTGGCAATTCAAATCCACCAGTCCATTCCTCAGGAGAAAGATGAGGCTGTCTGAGATTGACCATCTCAGAAACCAAGAAGAGTAGTTACACCCTGTCCTGTAGGGTTTATATGTGTCAGAATCAATTCCATGGCCATAGAGAAAGGTGTTCAATTTAGTAAGCAAATGACTGACTCATAGAAAATAATTAGTTTTAACATGAGAATATATCCAAATTTAACTACAAAAACATTTTCTCAGTTCAAGAAGTTAGATATGAACATACACTATTGAGATACCTGAAATAGTACTACTTCACTCAAATATTTCAATACCTACTTCTGGTGTGGTGCTGCAGTATCAGCACTGGACTACAAACCACAATGTCAGCAGTTCAATCCCACCAACTGCTCCTCGGAAACCCTATACAGAGTCGCTATGAGTTGGAGTCAACTCAACAGTACTTAACAACAATATGTTTGGGAATCCTAGTGTGGTGTTATAGGATCAGCACTGGACATTAACCAGAAGGGTAGTAATTCAAACCCACTAGCCACTCCTCAGAAACCCTCTCCAGGGTCACTATGAATTGAAATCAACTCAACTGCACTTAACAACAACATAAGCCTGACACTGGGGATATTAGAGCAAACAAAATGCAGTTTCTGCCCTACAGAAGCTTAAGCTGGTAAGACATTTTTTAAGTAATTTTCATAATTGAAAGAGAAGTTGGAATCCTTCCAATGTACCTATTTAATTTTTAAAATAAAGTCCAGAGAAGTTAAGTGATTTGGCCAAAGGTACATAGTTAAGAGTTAACACTAGAATCCTCAAGTCTTACAATTCTCAGTATAGCAGTTTGTTTTCACTATAACATACTGTCGTTCAAGACTTTAAGGTTCAATACGATGTGTTGCCTTGACATCTGGTAAAACTGTGAGGGTTGCATTGTATAACCACAGTTCCCCTCCCCACTGTGTTCCTGAGAATATGGTAATTCAGCCAAACTATCCTCCTTATCACCAAGACCAGGTACAATTCTCACTTCTTTCTAAATAGTGGTTGTTCACTCTATCCCTGAGGGTAACGCCCATGTGGTCTTCTGTGGTGGTCAGTATCCATCTCCTCTGGGCTGTGAGTACATGTGACTGATAAACTGCTATTGATCTCATCTGTCCAGTGGCAGGTGTCATATGTATACACACAGGAATACCTTCTTCATCAACAGGACGAATAAGGGATGATCTTAAGTTTTCAATATAAAACTGAGATTAAGCACTTGATCGGCCACTAACAAAAACCTTTCTAAATCCTAAGTATGAATGTAAATCATGTCAAAGATTTCTGAAATCTAATAATCTTCAAGGGAACTAAGAGACACAAAAATAAAATCTCTCATGATTACATATTTTCTGATAAACAAAAGACATTCTTCACACTGAAAGGATTGCTAAATTGGTATTTCTTATGTCAAAAATAAGGAGTCCTGGTGGCACAATGCTTAAGCACTTAGCTCCTCATTGCAAAGTGAATGGTTTGAACCCACCACAGTAGAAAGATATGGCAGACTGCTCCCATAAAGATTATAGCCTTGGAAAACCTATGTGTCATAGATTAAGTTGCATACCTCCCAAAGTAAATGTCAGCTTGGCTAAGTCACAATTCTCAATGGTTTGGCAGTTGTGTAATAATGTAATTAGTCCTGGTATGGCGTTGCAGGATAAGCACTTGAGTGATAACTTAAAAAGTTAGCAGTTGAAACTCACAAGCTGCTCCTTAGAAACTTATACAGGGATCACTGAGTCAGAACCAACTCAAAGGCACTTAACAACAACAACAAAAACAATGTGATAGTTATGTTATGATTCCCCATAATGTGATTTGATGTGATGAACCTTTAAGAAGACTAAGGGTGGGCCAAAATACCCTTAATACCATCACAACCCTGATCTGATGTAAAGGAATTTCCAAGGAGTGTGGCCTGCAACATCTTTTATCTTATAAAGATAAACGGAGACAGAAGTGAACAGAGAAAGTAGGACCTATTACCACCAAGACAGAAGAGCCAGGAGTGGAGTATACCCTTTGGACCTAGAGTTCCTGCACTACACAGCTCCTAGATCCAGGAAAGATTAATGCCAAGACATATGGTGATCTCCCAGAAGAACTGTGCCTGCAGATGCTGAAAGTAGACAAGGACTTCTCCCCAGAGCCCACAAAAAAGAACAAGCCTTCCCCTAGAGCTGGCACTCTGAATTTGAACTTGTAGCCTCCTATGATGTGAGAGAATAAGTTTCTGTCTGTTCAAAGCCATTAGAATTTCCAAAGCTTACTGCTGTTACAGCAGCTCTGGATAACTAAGGCACTCAGAGGGAGTTCTACTCTACCCTGTAAGGCTGCTATCAATCAGGATTGACTCAAAGGTAGTGAATTTTTTTCGGTTATGTCAGAAAGCAGTTGTCATAGTCTCAGCCTTTATACTGCATTTCCATTCTCATTTATTCACAGAGCCCCAAACAAAACTAATATATACTGAATGCTAAACTTAAACACTGAATTGTAAAAATGTGAAAGCAAAAAGACCATATTGCATTTTAATAATTACCTTAAATGTACCATTTTGATTTTTCATGTAAGAAACCAAAAAAATATCCACTGGAAGAAGTGCTGAAGTGACAAGTGCAATTGCCAGAGAAAAAATTGCTGTGATAGTGGAGACAACTTCACTTTCCCGTTGACTCTGGTATTTACGAACGTATATCCAGCAGAATGCCAAGATAGCCTGAAACAGAACAAAAAGAAATGTTTTGTTATTACCCTATGTATTTTACTAAACATATTAATGTGTTTGAAACTTTCCAATGAACAGTTCATTTTTTTTTTAATGTAAAGGTTCTTATAAATATGCAAGGAAAGCTCACTTACTTCTACCCCTTATTAACAAGTTCAAAATTAGAATTTTCAAAGCCTAGTGTGGTGCTGTGGGATAAGCACTGGAACATAAGCTCAGTGGTTCAAACTCACCTGCCACTTCTCAGAAACCCTATACAGGGTCATCATGAGTTGGAACCAACTCGATGGAACTTAACAACATTTCATAAAGATCCTGGTATAGCACTGTAGGCTAAGTACTCTCAGAAATCAAGCACAGGGTCACTATGAATAGGAATTCACTTGACGGCACTCAATGCCATTCATAAAGTAGTGTAACCTCACTTAGGCACATGTACACACAAAGAAAAAAGTTATTAATAACATTATATATTTCCCAGCTACATATGAGGAAAACAGTATAATCATTAATGGTTTCACATAACACCAAAGTTACAGCTAGTTTGGAGTATCTCTTCCCTATCGATCTCTCCAATCTAAAGAAGAAATACAATGGGGCTTCAAAAAGATTGTGGAAAAATGAAATGAAAAGATAATGAATTTTCCATAAACTTGTTGAAGCCCTCAAACCTAGAGGTTGTTCTATCATAGACTTATTCCTGAAACATCAGAGACCATACCTTGGATTCAAATTAGCTTCTGCCCTATTATGACAGTTCAAGAGTGCCATTCAAGTGAAGGCTAACTACCAAAAATCAACATACACTTTAATTTAAATTTAAAGGGTATTAAGCAAAGAAAGTTGAACACTGACAATGACAACATGCACAGACCAAAAAGCTTTTCAATGAAACAATTACACTTTGAGGTACTCTGAGGTTGACAACTCTAATCAACCTGGTACTCTTAATGGTTACCAGAGAACTTTTCTAATAACTAACACAGGGGATAGGACTTAATTCGAAACCAAACCCAGGCCCAATGCCATAGAGTTGACTATGACACACAGTGACCCTACACAGGGTTTCTGAGCCTGAGAATTTTTATGGAAGCAGCAGTCTCATCTTTCTTCCATGGAGCAGCTGATGGTTTTGAACTGCCAACCTTCCGGTGAACTACACAGCACTTAACCCATACTGCCATGAAGGCTCCTTAGGACTTTATTCACAAACCTAAGTGAATATAAGAAACATCCAGAGGACTTGTTAAAAGAGATTGTTGACCCCAGATTTTCTGAATAAAGCCTGAAAGTATGCTTTTGTAGCAAGTTCCCAAGTGATGCTGCTGCTAGTCCAGGAACTACACTTTGAGAGCCTTTCAGACAGATACAAAATCAATAGCTCTCAATCGTGGCTACGTGTTCAAATAACCCAGGTAGTTTTCAAATATCCTATGCCATTCTCAAAAAAAAAAAAAAAATCAAATCAATCAATCAAAGGGTGAGGCACCTTCAGTTCTTTAACTGTCTTAAATGATTCCAATGTAAACCAAATTTGGGAACCACTGTTTGATATTATGAGTAGCCCTGGGCAGCACAATGATAAATTCTCAGTTGTTAACCAAAAGGTCAATGGTTAGAGCCCATCAGCTGCTGAGGCAGTCTGCTTCTGTAAAGATTTACAGCCTTGGAAACCCTACAGGAGCAGTTCTACACAGTCTTTTAGGGTGACTATGAATTGGAATTGACTCAGGGCAGTCAGGTTTAGTTCAGGTTCTAAGTAAACTCCATACAGCTTTGCTTTGTCCTTTTAATTTTTTTTTTTTTTTTAACAGACCTATTGGTTACTTATTTTCTAGCCTATCATCCTAGTTCAGGAGTCCGGAAAGGACTAACAAAACCACCTACCTAGTTTTACAGCTTTCAAATTCTCCTAGTCCACCACATATCAAATCAAACAAAACTCCCATCAAAGTTCCTATCTCAGCCTGGTCCCTGACAACTACTCACTCTTTTCTGTCCCTACAGTTTTACCTTTTTTGTTGTGTGCCATCCAGTGATTTCAACACCCAGTGACCCTATAGAACACTGTAGAAAACCATAGGGTTTCCAAGGCTGTAATCTTTAAAGGAGCAGATCATCTTTTCTCTCAAGGAGTCACTGGTGTGTTCTACCCCCTAACCACCATGCCATCAGAGCCCTTCAACTTTTCTAAAATATCATAACTAAACTTATACACTACATATATTTTTAAATATATTACAACATGTTTTGAATCTGGCTTGTTTCACTTAGCATGTTGTTGTTGTTGTTAAGTGCTGTCGAGTTGGTTTCAATTCAAAGCAACCCTGTATAGGGTTTCCAAGGCTTTACTCATCTTTCTCCTGTGACAAAGATGGTGTGCTAGAACCATCAACCTTTTGGTTTTGGTTCACATCCAGTGCCTATCCTATGGAGTCTCTACACTCCGCTTAACATACTGATTTTCAATCCATCCAAGTTGTTGTATGTCATTCCTTCAAATTGCTGTATTTCAACTACAAACAGGACAACAAGAAAAGATAAACTGCAAAAGAAATTAAGAGTTTGTAACCTGCATGTTGGTATAAAATAAAAGTCTCTAAAGTTTTCAAATTCTGACTGACGAATATTTTGGTTATCTGGGGAAATACAGGTATTTATCATATTATAATGGATTTATTTTTAAATTTATGCATAAATATTTTAGACATTCCTCAATTTTATTCTGAAATCAGTCGATCTTTACTTTTGTGTTCTCAACAGTGCCTGACACAAATTGGTCAATAATTTCGTTCTACTGGATTATACAGCGTTAAGTGGTAAAGCAGAAGAAACATGAGGCAAGGTGGCAAACGAGGCAGAAAGGATTTCCCGACCCTCTACAACAAAGATACAGAAAGCCAAATGAGACAAGAGGCAGATGAGAGTCCTAGAACCCTGTGCTCCAGATGAAGTGATATAGAAGTGGACTCAATGGTTATGAGGAGACAGAATTTAGCAGAGGTGGCAATAAAAGGAGTGACTGATGAGCTATAGCAACAGAGTGAACCAGCCACAGTCATCTTGTATGTTTGTAACGGGCTTCAGAGACAAGAAAACATATTCACAGTGCAGAAATCTACCTATGTCCTGCAGAGACAAAGGAACATTTTTTTTCTTGTATCCCACACTCCCCTCAGAAACCCTGTACAGGGTCGCTATGGGTCGGAATGAAGAAAGGAAAAAGACTGTGTAGCTGGCCAGCCACAGTGTACACTCTTGAAATTTCTCAGGCAACTGTGAAAAACTCTTAATACTAGCAAACTAGGAGGACAATCAGAAAAAAGGGAATGAAGAAAATTCTAAAGAACATGTTGGGGAGTTACAAGTGACTGGAATTCCAGAACAACAAGAAACAAAGAAAAGCACAGAAACCATAATCAAAGAGCTATTGGAGGATAATTTCCCTAACATCATGAAAGATGAGAAGATAAGCAATCAAGAAGCTGAGTGAACCCAAACATGATAGATCCCAAAATAAAATCACCAAACCATATCATAATGAAACTCTCAAAAATCAAAAACAAGGAAAGAGTCCTGAAAGTAGCTCAGGAAAAACAAAATGTTACCTACGACGGAAAACCAGTAAGATTCAGCTCTGATTTCTCAGCAGAAACCAAAAAGGCAGGCAATGGGGAGACATATAAAACTCTAAAAGTAAAAAATTGCCAACCAAGAATCATATACCCAGCAAAACTGTCACTCAAATACACAGCAAAATTAGAATGTTTCTAGATAAATAGAAATTAAAGGAATATACAAAAAGCAGGCCAACCTAACAAAAAAATACTAAAGAGAGTCCTTTGGACTCAGAACCAACACACAGACAACAACTGGAGATTGACAAACATGACAACACCACCCAGAATTCAATACAGATATAGAAGTACCAGATTGAAAATAGGGAATCAAATGTATCAATATATAATAAAGACAACTACACAAAGCAAAAAGAGGGCAAAGTATAGTTTAAAAACTTCTAAATGGTGAAGAATTCAAGTGGATTTCAAAATAAAATATACTGCTTCAACTGGGGGAGAAAATTAACAAATTACAGTGAAACCTGAAAGATACTTAGTACACCTTCACATCAAATCAAGAAAATGAAAATTCAAGATTTTATAAACATTAAAACATTAATGAAAAAATTTGTAAGAAAATGTACACAATAAATGAACTCAGTACAGTAAATGTGGGGAACAAAGAAACCAGCAGCACCTCAAAAAAACATACAGCAAAATGGCAATTAATTAATTGATCTTGTTAAATGTCACCAAATCATTTCCAACTCATAGTAACCCTGTATAGACATTCTAAGGAGCAACAAGTGAGTCTGAATCCTAGACATTGTGGATGCAACTGCCCTTACAGTCCAATTGCTTATCCTACAGCACCAAACCACCTATCGATAATTACACTGAATGTCAATGGATTAAATGCAACCAATCAAGAAACAGGGAATAGCAGAATGGATAAAGAAACAGGATCCTTCAATATGTTGTCTGTAAGAGACACATCTTACACACATAGACAAACACAGATTACAAATTAAAGGATAGAAAAAATATATAAAGTTAATGGCCATCAAAAACTTATAGGAGTGGCAATATAATTTCTGATAAAATAGACTTTAAGACAAAAACCAGCATAAGCGACAAAAGACATAATTTCATGAGTAAGTGGTCAACTGAATAAGAGGACATAACTAAAAAATATCTAGGCTCCCAATTTAAAAGCCCCAAAATACATAAATCAATAGAACTGAAGAAAGAAATAGACAACTCTACAATAATACATTTTAATATACCACTTTCAAACTTTCAAAAGATAGAACAACTAGAAAGAAACTCAAGCACACAGAGGAATTAAACAATACAATCAAACAACTTGACCTCATCAACTTATCCAGAGCACTGAACCCAACAAAAGCACAATACACACTCTTT